TGGTTATCACTTTCACAGAAATTTTTTAATTTTTTTTTTTAATCTCTGTACTGGCTTATTTAGGTGATTTGCTTTCCAATTGTGATTTTCTCTTTCTTATATATTAGTCTTTTCTATTTAGAGAAGACCTTTCAATATTTCCTTTAGGATAGGTTTAGTATTGCTGTATTCTTTTAGTTTCTGCTTGTCTGAGAAATTCTTTATCTTTCCTTCTATTCTAAATGATCTTGCTGGGTAGAGTATCATAGGTTGCAGACTTTTCCCTTTCAGGACTTTGAATATATCTTGCCCCTCCCTTCTGGCCTTGCAACGTTTCTGTAGAGAAATCAGCTGATAGCCTTATGGGGGTCCCCTTGTAATTAACTCTTTGTCTTTCTCTTGCTGCTTTTAGAATCCTCTCTTTAACTTTTGCTATTTGTATTATAATATGTCCTGGTGTAGGTCTATTTGGGCTTACCTTGTTTGGGACCCTCTGTGTTTCCTATACCTGGATATGTTTCCTTCTTTATGTTTGGGAAGTTTTCAGCCATAATTTCTTCAAATACATTTTCAATCCCCATTGGCATGCTTTATATTATCCCATAGGTCTCTTATATTGCTTTCATTTTCTTTTTTTTTTTTTTTAATTTGCCTTTCTGTCTGCTGTCCTGATTGGGTGATTTCCATTATTCTATTGATATCTTCCAGGTCACTTATTTGTTCTTGTGCATTATTTATTCTGCTGTTCATTGCTTTTAGTTCAGTTGTCATCTCAGCAAATGAGTTCTCTAATTTTTCTTGGTTATACTTTATAGTTTCTAGTTCCTTTTTTTTTTTTTTTAACAGTACTCTGCATTTCTGTCAATAGCCTTCCTTAATTCTTTCAGTATTTTCATTATCTCCTTTTTGAAATTGGTGTCTATTTGACTGAAGAGGTCTGTTTATTTGTTCTTTCAGGGGAATTCTCTTGGTCTTTTAACTGTGAGTGGTTCCTCTGCTTCTTCATTTTACTTATATTTCTCTTATTCTGTGAGTTTAGGAGAAACAGTTAGCTACTCGTCTTGGAGGGCTATTTATATGTGGGTCCGTCCCTGTGTATCTTGTGTGGGTTTAATATTTTTGGTGCGAGGCCTGTTTTTATTATTTATTTATTTGTTTATTTGGCTGCATCAGGTCTTAGTTGTGGCACGTGGGATCTTTGTTGCGGCATGTGGGATCTTTCATTGCGGCGCATGGGCTCCTCTCTAGTTGCGCATGGGCTTCTCTCTAGTTGTGGCACGTGGGCTACAGAGCATGCAGGCTTAGTTGTCCCGTGGCATGTGGGATCTTAGTTCCCCAACCAGGGATCGAACCTACATCCCCTGCATTGGAAGCAGATTCTTAACCACTGGACCACCAGTAAAGTCCCACGAGGGCTGTTTGTTTTTTTTTTACCTGTAGCCTCTTTCCTCAGCATGTGCTGGCCATCATCCCCTTGATAGGGGGTGTGCAGATATGGGAGCTAGTGCCTGGTCTTGGGGTTCTCGGTGGCACTGGCAGATCACGTGCACCCCTAGAGCATGCAAAGGGAGTAGAGGCAGCTCACGACCAATCCTGGAGTCCAGAAGGGTGGTGGTGGCAGCTGGTGATTACTCCTAAAGCCCAGAGGGCAGCCGCTGCTCGTGACCGCTCCTGGAGCTCGTGTAGGCGGTGTTCTGCTGCCTGAGAGCTCCTGCAGGGAAAAAGGCTGTAGTGGTAGGTCCTGCCCCTCCCCTCACGCACCGCCCACACAATGGCACCTGGCCTCTAAAGCAGCCTAGGTTTCCTCCGCGTACACTCTTAGGTGTGGTTGCACCAGACTCTAGCCCCTTCAGGCTGTTTGCGTGCAGCCCACTCCAGTTGTCTACCTGGGTCTGATCTCCGAAGCACAAGTTTACACACCCAGCCCCTGCCCATACCAGAGGACATGTGTCTTAGGCTGGGGAGTGCAGGGTGGTGGCACTGTCTGTCTCTCCATTCTAGCTGCTGCAAACCAGTTGCTGCATTCTCCTCCCAGGCTCCAAAGCTCCCCCTCTGTCCCAGCTAATCTCCCCACTAGTGAGGGGACTTCCCAGGGTACAGGAACCTTTCCTCTTTCACAGATCCCTCCCAAGGGCCCAGGTCCTGTCCCGATTCCTTTCTCTCTTTTTTTTCTTCTGTCCTACCCAGTTACAGGGAGATTTTCTTGCTCATTCAGAGTTCTGAGGTCCTCTGCCAGCGTTTGGTAGATATTCTGTGAGAATTGTTCCACGTGTATGTGTATTTCTGATACATTTGTGGGAGGGGGTGAGCTTCATGTCCTACTACTCCACCATCTTGATCACTCCTCTGCACTGACTTTTGAATGTTAAACCAATCTTGCATCCCTGAGTTAAACCCGACTTGGTCATAATGTATGACCTATATTGGTGGATTCGAAAGTTTACTTGAGGCTTTTGTGCTTGTTCACAAGGAATATTGGTTTATAGTTTCCTTGTTATGTCCAGAATATGTAAAGAACTCTTACAACTCAAGAACAAAAGGACAAACAACTCATTTTGTTTGAAATGGCCCAAAGACTTGAATAGATATTTCTCCAAAGAAGATATACAGATGGCCATTAACCACATGAAGAGATGTTCAACATCATTGTTCATTAAGGAAATGTAAATCAAAACCACAGTGGGCTATCACTTCATACCCACTAGAATTGTTTTAATCAAAAGAATGAAAAATAAGTGTTGTCAAAGATGTGGAGAAATAGGAACCCTTGTATATTGCTAGTGGGAAGGTAAAATGGTGCAGCTGCTATGGAAAAGAGTTTGGTGGTTCCTCAAAAAGTTAAGCATAGCATTACCATATGATTCAGCAGTTCCACCCCTAAATATATACTCAAGAGAAATGGAAACATATGTCCACAAAGAAACTTGTATACAAATGTTTATATTTTTAGAGCATTATAATAGCCAAAAGGTGGAAACAACCCAAATGTCCATCAGTGACAGATGAACAGATGAATAAATTGTGATATGTGCATACATGCACAGATACACACACATACACACACACACACACACAGGAATATTATTCAGTCATAAAAAAGAATGAAAAATTGATGCATGCTACAACTTAGATGAAACTTGAAAACATTATGCTGAGTGAAATAACTCACATATAAAAGGACAAATATTGTATAATTCTACTTACATGAAGTAACTAGAGTAGTCAAATTCATCTGGACAGAGAGTATAATGATGGTTGCTAGAGTCTGGGGGTAGGGGAACATGGGGATTTACTGTTTAATGGATATAGAATTTCAGATTTGCAAGATAAAAAAAAGCTTTGGAGACTGATGGTGGTGATGGTTTCACAACCGTGTGAATTTGCTTAATGCCACCGAACTGTACAGTAAATGGTTAAAAGGGTAAATTTTATATTAAATTTTACTACAATCAAAAAATAATAAATTAAGGGGAAAGAAAGGAACAAAGAACCAGTAGATGGTACAACTTGGATGAATCTTAAAAACATATGCTAAGTGAAATAAATCAGACACAAAAAGTCACCTATTGCGTCGTTCCTTTTTTACAATATATCCAGATTAGGCAAATCCAGAGAGACAGAAAGCAGGTTAGAAGTTACCAGGGGGTGAGAGGAGTGGGAAGTAAGGAGGGATTGGTTAATGGATATGGAGTGTTTTTATGTGATGATAAAAAAATTTTGAAAGTAGGGAGAGCTTGTGGTTACCAACATTGTGATACAGTAAACACCATCGAAGTACACACTTTAAAATCATTCAATGTATGTTATGCGAATTTGATCTCAGTAAAACACACACACTCACACATTGCCAGTCAAGCACAACACATCCTACCACGTTCCTCTGGGACACGTGGTACAGGCCTGCAAGGACCTATTTAAAGTAGTATATATGTATTATAGATTGTTTAAAGTGCTGAAAGCACATACAAGAAAATAAAAACATCTCATTCCTACCACTCAGAGATTGCTATTATTAGCACCTCTTTTTTCTTTCTAGAGTTTTCTCTCTCCTTTCTGTCTCTTCCCCACCCCCTCTCTCCACACACACACACACCACACACACACACACACACACACACACACACACACACACACACACACACGTATTTTTAACCAAAATGAAATTATGCTGTTTGTAAATTTGGTGTGTTTGGTTGTGATCTTCATCTCTCCATGTTGACACATTTTAATTCATCTAATAATTACAATTTAAGTTCCCTCAATATTCCAAAATTGTTTACAGTAGATCAATCCAAATTAGATTCCAGTCTAGGGACATGTATTGCATTTTGTTATGTCCTTTAAGTCCCTTTTATCTAATGTATACACCCCCGCTTTTTATGACAGAGATTACTTGAAGAAACCCAGCCAGTTGTCTCATATATTTCATCTTTTAAAAACGTGTTCTGTTTTATATGCTTTTTAAGTACATTAAGTAATTATATATTGGGGTACATGATCAAAAGTTTTTAGTGGTAAGGGTACAAGCATCATAAATGGTTAAAGACTGTAGGGTGTGCAGGTGTTTATTACACTCATCAGTTTTTGTAGGTTTGAAGTTCAAAATAAACATTAAAAAAGAAAAAATGGTTTAGAAGATTACTATTCTAGTCTGCCATTTTTCCAGAGTGTGCACTTGTCAATTCAGGAGTCCACCTAAACCTCTGGAATCAGATTTGGAGGCGCAGCTGGGGAAATGGGCATTTCTAAGTCTTTCTCGTGGTTTTGATGCTCAGGGATGTAGAGACGTGATGCTTACCTTGTGCTTTGTGATCATTTCCAGAATTGACACCCCTCCTTTGTCTCTTGCATCAATATTTATCGAGCATGTACTCTAGGCCAGTCCCACCAACTGGGACTGTGAGTGATAGGCTGGAAAGGCAGAGGGAGGCAGCTCTGTGGGCAGTTTTGCAGTTTATTATGGTGGCATCTAACACACTTGCTCCATTAGCCTGTTACCTTCCTTGATGTTCCCCTGTCAGGATTATGAAGAAGCTGTGCTCTTGCTGTTAGAAGGAGCTGCCTGGGAAGAAGCTCTGAGACTGGTAAGAGGACTTCAAAACTCCTCCCTGCATGAAGTGCTAAGCGGAGCAAGAGCCTGCACAGGGGAGACAGTGTCAGCCGCAGTCCCTTGTCTTCTGAGCTACTGAAATTTGTCAGAAATAGTTCAGGTTCCTGGTCTAAGGATAAGCAATGCTTTTTAAACCATTTAAAAAGTTTATTCTTGATGTTTGGAATTAGTTCTCTGAATATGAAATATTACTAATTTTTACTGAAATGAATTGAGTTTTCATTGGCTACCTTATAGGAGGCCTACTCCTCTGGAAAATATCCTGTCACCTCTGAAAGTGATCCATTTCCAAGTATCTTAACTTCCCAGTGATTTGAAGTTTTCCTGCCTAAAATTGTTGTATTTTTTTTTTTAGGTACACAAATATAACAGACCAGATATTATAGAAACCAACGTAAAGCCTTCCATTTTAGAAGGTGAGGGTTACATTTAGATAGAATTCCTGATTTGGAAGTATAGAACTGCTGGGAGAGAGGGAGACGGGAGAGTACTGCCTGTGCTATTACATCCTTTAATCATGTCAGTGATGAAAGGACTCATTATATCGAGTCAATCAGAGTTCTCCACTGGGTGTGAAATTTACTTCTGAACATGGTTTTTAAATATGCTAAGTTGCTAAATAGTAGCACATAACTTATTTGAATGTTAAAAACCTGTGATAAGATACAATTAAGAATCTTTGGGAATAGTTGGTAAACTCAAATATGAACTGTATATTAGATAATATTGTATCAAATGGTTAATTTCCTGCATTTAATAATTGTATTGTGGTTATATAGATGATATCCTGATTCTTAAGAGAGAGATGCTGAAGTATTTAAGAGGGAAGAATCATATCTGCAACTTCCTCTCAGAGGGTTCCACAAAAATTGTGTGTGTGTGTGTGTGTGTGTGTGTGTGTGTGTAGAAACAGAGGAAGCCAAAAATATGGCAAAATGTTAATAATTGATAAATCTAAGTGAAGGGTATATGTATGTACATTGAATTACTGCAACCTTTAAGTAGGTTTGAAACTTTTTCAAAATAAAAATTTTTAAAAAATAAGAAGGGACTTACCTGGTGGTCCAGTGGTTTAGACTCTGCACTTCCACTGCAGGGGCCTCGGGTTTGACCCCTGGTCGGGGAACTAAGATCCTGCATGCTGTGTGGCGCGGCCCAAAAAATAATAATAAAAAGAAGAACCTTTGCAGATGGTTCCTCGGTAACAGATGAGTGTTATCAGTTCTAGAATACTCTGGTGTTCGCTGTATCCCTTAAAAGCAAAGTGTAAAAGAAGGACATCAGTTTGACTTATAAAAGTCTTTGGGAGTAGAGGTTGATTTTAAGCTCTGCACAGTCTACCCTGTAAGTGATGTCTGGCCTTTCTGACATTAACATGTATTTATATTCTTACCCTGCCTGCTCTTTACTACCCTGTCCTACTCAAAACTGGGAGGGTTCTTTGTGTATCATTCACTTTAGGTACTCCTAACTGGATATTGGAAGCATCCTTCCTGGCCCTATAACAATCCATCTAGCCCACCCTTACTTGGATTTTTCTCCACTAATTAGAACCTAGAAAAGGTGCTCCTTAAACATATAAGTATTGGGTATTTGTAGATGAAAAACTACAAAGACGTAATACTTATATGTTTAAGAAGCATTTCAGAGACTTTCCTCCTATTTTTGTTAACACCTTCCTGTGCACTCCTTTTATTTACTAGTCTTCTCTTGGGTTAGATACCAAGTCTTTTGTTCAGGTGATTTTGTAAGTTTAGTGGTAGAGAGTATTCTAGGATGATGTTGATGAACTTTAAGATCTGGAATCTCAATCTCTAGTTCTTTCTCCTATAGCAATGTTGGTTACTTCTCATTAAAGAAAAAATTCTTGCTTGAAAAACCTGGTAACTTCTTTTCTTTGTTAAGCTCCAACTCCCTCACTAACCACCCCCACTCTAGTTTTATCTCTTTGTTTAAACGTGCTCAAATTATTTTCCATCTGCACCCTTAGCCCAGAAAAATTATATGGCGTTTCTGGACTCTCAGACAGCCACATTCAGTCGCCATAAAGCACGTCTATTGGTGGTGCGAGAGCTCAAGGAGCAAGCACAGCAGGTGCATCTGGGTGAGTGCCCACCTGAAGACACCGATGCTTGGGGGGTGGTGAGGGGCAGCATCACGCTTTGTCTCAGCTGCTAACTGTCCCTCCCGCAGTGTGATTACTGTGCCAAGTGGAAGTCCGAGGCCTCTGAGGGTCTGTGAGGGTCTTTGTTGTGGGTACTGGTGAGCGCTTGGGGGCAGGACCAGGCACCAATGGGCAGAGCTCTGCCAAACATTCTCTCCACACCCCGACCAGAGCAGCGGACTACTGTATTTACACAGTGATCTCATTTCCAGAAGGTCCTTTGCTTTAAAAAAAAAAAAAAGACTTGCCTGGTGGTCCAGTGGTTAAGACTCTGCACTCCCAATGCAGGGTGCCCAGGTTCGATCCCTGGTCAGGGAACTAGATGCCACAACGAAGATCCCACATGCCACAACTAAGACCCAGCGCAGCTAGCTAGCTAGCTAGATAAATAAATAAATAAGTAAAATTTTTTTATGTAAAAAGAATAAAGACGTTTGGTAAAGTACTAGTTTACAGTAATAAAACTGTATATATTATCTATTTCATTTTGAGATCGACTTTGTACTAGTTTTCATGTCCTTAGATATGACCTGGTTAACTGTAGTTCCCTTACCCCACTGAAGGTAAACCCTCATTTGCAGGTAGTTTTCATGCTGTCTGGTTCTTCTCCTCTAGATGATGAGGCACCCCACGGTCAAGAGTCAGACCTCTTCTCTGAAACTAGCAGTGTCATGAGTGGCAGTGACATGAGTGGCAAATATTCCCACAGTAACTCCAGAATATCAGCGTATGTATCATGTTTATTCAGCACGTTGACCATGCCCTGGGTATACGGAGAAAGTACAAGTAAATAGGTCAGTTTTCCAACAGGACAGTGCAGCAGGAGGGGGAGGACATTCTTCAAGGCCCTGTGGAAGCTGTGCAAGGACCTTCGCAGCATATCTAAGAGATTAGACTCAGCTTTGAAATGTTTTCTGCTGCAACTTCGTGGCCTGTGTGTTTGCCCATCAACCACATGGCGCTTACACTGGGTACTCAATTTATATATGACATCTGACTTTATTCATTTAAGAAATATTAAGTGACTATAATGTGTAGGCACTGAGAAAAATATAAAGATTATAAAGAAAAAAGATTTCACACTTCTTCAATTCAAAATTCAACTTGTCAGAAGTATAATCGAGCTAGTTGTAGTGGATGTTACCAAAACCTTTTAAGGAGATGTGAGTTATAAGAGCTTGTACTCTTCCTTGGGAAACAAAAGTGTATAATGCAAGATTATATATTTAAACCAAATTGTGCTTTAGGAATTCAGAATGGAGACCTGTGAGGTTGTGTGGGGCAATCAGAAACTGCAAGAAAGCCACCTAGAACTGGGCTTTGAGAGTTGGGGTGAGAGTCCCAGACAAAACAAATGGCATCATTAAAGATCTCTGAGGCAGGAGAGAATGTGGGATTCATATATATTTTATGATATTCAAATTCCAATCTGGTATGTCTGTTATCTTACTTCAACTTAATTTTGTTGCCTTTAAACTTATTTGGTTTTTGCTACAAAATTGAAGCTGTTTGTTCTTTTCATTTTTCTGCCTCTTATCAGATGAAATCCGATTTTATTCTGTATTTTAATCAAAACTTCAAGGCCAGGCATCACTTTTTAGGGTTTTCCTTATTATTTCCTGCCTTTTCTCTCCCAATTTAATTTTTATGTATCATCTTAACACCTTCACCATCTTCCCCAAAATACAAATACCATCTGTATATACTCTGGTTTCCCAGAAAGTTGGTGGCCAGTAGTTACATTCATTTTAATCTGTTCAGCACAAGGAGAGCCCCTTTTAAAACATCTCTAATATCTAACAGGAGATCATCTAAGAATCGGCGCAAAGCGGAACGGAAGAAGCACAGCCTCAAGGAAGGGAGTCCACTGGAGGATCTGGCCCTTTTGGAGGCATTGGGTGATGTGGTGCAGGGCACTGAAAAATTGAAAGGTATATTCTCAATACTGATGATTCTTGCCCACAAAAAACATAGTAAATTCGTCACTTCAGGGTGCATTCCTGAAACAAAACTTCTCAGCCAATAGCCTAGATGTCTTCCTCTTTGGCATCCACCTACCTGAGCTGTGAGAGACTATCACTGAAACCAGGATAAAGACAGAGGAGGCACTGCTTTCCTGCTTGGCTCTAGTGGGTTTGTTTTCTTTTTGTAGTAGATATGTTGAATTATTCCAACTTTTGGGGAGAAAGAAGAAAATGAGGGAGATATTGTAGTATGCTATTAGATATTTTCACTTGGGAAAGAAACTCCTGTTAGGATTCTAGCAGTGGAGCTGGTGATACAACTTACCACTCTCAAATTTCTTCTCTCTAGATGAAATATACCATATTTTAAAGATACTCTTTCTCTTTGAGTTTGATGAGCAAGGAAGGGAATTACAGAAGGCCTTTGAAGATACTCTGCAGCTAATGGAAAGGTCACTTCCAGAAATTTGGACTCTCACCCCCCAGCAGGGTTCAGCTACACCTGTAAGTTTTCCTCAAAGACAGAATGTGCTTCTTTTTTTTTTAAATCACTTTGACAGGTTATTACTCTCACACAATCGCTTAATAGTGAGAGCAAAAGATTTTCCTGTTCTTAAAACATACTATACAATAGTTAAATTGTCTTAGACTTATGTTTAAGCTGTCAGTAAGAAGATTTTATGTTTGATAGTATAGTTCATAGCGCACCTTGGCCTAGGTTAAGTTTGCTTTTTATTTCTCCTTTCTGCATGAAACTGCTGTCATGGAGAAGATGGGAAAGTCAGATGTCAGATGGTTGCCCTGACCTTCAGTGAGATTGGTCAGGGTAGGGGGCAAGCTCGGACCAGAACTGGCCTCTCACCTCTCTGTTCAGACTTATGGATGGGATCTGAGTTCTTTAAAGGAAGCCCAGACAATTGCTTTTTCTCTTGTTTTATGGTAAATTTGACTTGTCACTTCTGTGTTGTTGTAACAAGCTTGCTAATTATGTTAAAGCTGTTTGTGTCCCATCAAGAATTCTAATATATTGTCATCTATTTATTGTGTATATATGTCTGCTCAGTCTCTTACATCTCAGGTCTGTTGTTCAAAGTTTCAGTTTTGATTCAGAAAGGCTGGTTTATCAGTCAGAGTCCATTAAGGAAAAACAAAAACCACAGCTGTTATTTTATCAGAGAGAGTTTAATATATGGAACTGGTTAACCAAGTACTAGAGGACTGAGAAGGCAGAAAGGGAACACAGAGAAGGAACATTGAGATTGAAACCCGACAGCCACTTGTACCCATAAAGCTGAAGGAACAAAAGGAAGAGCTGGGATTCTTAGAATTTAGACGCTTGGAGGTGAGGCCCCTGCAGAGCTGGTTCTTGAACCTTGGAGAAGGGGGTGGCAGCCAGCTGGTGCTGGTATTGCCGAGGGGGCAGGTTGAGGCTGGGTCTAAGCGTATAGAAATAAACAGAAACTGGAACAAACAGCTGCTGCGGGGTACAGAGCTACTGTTGGGGTACAGAGCTACTGTTGAGTGAAAGCAAGCGAACAAGGGAACAAATTCCCTCTCCTTCCTCCATCCAGCTGGTGTCTGCTATTGTTGGAGCATAACGGCTGTCCAAGGAGAGGTGTTTTCTCAGGCCCCCAGTCCCAGCATCACGAGCAGTGTATAGCAGGGGTGGGTTTGGAGCTGAGAGAGAGGCTGGAAATCGGCTCATAAGCTTACTGGGTCTTGATTTCCTCAGTTATAAATGGGGATAATACTCTCCTGTATACTTCACTGGAATGTTTTGAAGGTTAGATGAGAGGGTAGATATAAAAGCATTTTACAAACCATAAAGATAAATGCAACTGAGAATTAGCCCCTCATAAATACTTGAATTTACTATAAGTATTTCCTAGAAGAAATGTGATCACCTTCAGAACTAGTGCTTTCGAGGCTAACAATTTATAATGCTTCCCAATGCTCTCCCTTATCCTCATCTATTCAGATCATGTTAACATCTAAGATACCAACTTACGAGTCTTCTAGGGGAAATGACCAGGAAAATTGTGTTTTTGCTTTGGTTGGTAAAGCATGATAATGTCATATATGCAGTATACTACGTGGTATAGTCACATGGCAGTGTTCTGAGCACGTGACATCACTGCTGAGAGTGCGCCAGGAGAGAACACGCAGACCTGAGTGAAGGCGAGGCGGAGGGCCTGGAGTGTGCCTGCTGAGGCTCGAGCGGGCGTGGAATTCCTGCAAAGTCTCTTGTTTTACCTTAAACACGTGTGCAAGTTTGCATTCTCCTCCATGATATGCACAGAATTGTTTTAATGTAAAAATTCTCACAAATCTTTGAGTACAGTCTGGTGCTCTGTGTATTCTATAACCGCTTATTATTATATCCCCTCCCCCCAGGGTATGGCTCACTTATTTGGAAAGGACCAGGCATATATCACTGAGATTTTCTTTTTCTGTTTTCCCCCCATCATTACCTTGTTCTTCTGGTGGACAGGAGATGTAGAGGTCTGAATTGAGACTGGAGAAACTGGCAAATTAAAATCACTTATGTGTTTGATACCATAATAAAAATGAAAGGCTATTTATTGCTGGTAGAGATTTGGTATTTGCAGTCAGCAGAATTATAAGATAATCTTTGCTGATTCAGTCTACTTTCTACTTAGGTTCTAGGTCCCAATTCTACTGCAAATAGTATCATGGCCTCTTACCAACAAGAAAAGACTTCAGTTCCTGTTCTTGGTTAGTATTTTTTTCTCTCTAAATTATTATAGTACTAAGCAGAAGGAGAATCTTTTTCTAAGTGTTGAGATGGTTAGTAGTATAAGGAGAGATTGGGGAATCACTACTATTTTCCCTCAGTTCTAAGAGTCTGTCTTTAGTAAAATTAGTTTAATGCCTTTAGTGTTGGGATCCTGGGTTGGCGGGTAAGAAATCCAATATGACATTAAATGTATAATTAAAAAAAAATTGTTCTGACATACACACTTATTAATGCAATGGCATACACTAGTCCATACAGACACATCACAGTTGAAGAAGTGTGACTCCTAAACAGTCTAATTTGCACATACATTTTAAGGATTCATCTGAATCATCCTTTTTGGCTATTGGCAGTTTTGCATTGTGTCTTGGGGACATTTTCATATTCCTGCTTAAGAGCTGGACCATTTTAGTCATACTTAGGATTAACAGTATAATTTGAAAACAAATCCAAAGAAGATTAGCATTTCATCTGCATTTTCTGTTGAATTCCTAAAATGTTCTGTTTCTTTGTGGTGGGGGGGAGAGGATTCTCATCAGTGAGGTTACATATTCCTCAAATTTAAAAGCCCTAAAGGCTTTCTTTTGAAAGTTGGTTAAAAACCTTTTGACAGATCAATTTGGTGCCACAGTATTTGCCCTTCATGTGGATCAGTCAAGCATAGCAACTTCTTTTTAGCTTTGAAACGGTGGCAGTTTTTACGGCTGCTATTTGCATTTCTGGCATGTGATAGGCAATGTTCTGCAATTTTTTCATCTAAATGCTCTACTGTGGTCGCATTTTGATAACATTTGAAGTAGCATTTGTGGGAGCCATGTCAAGTTTAACTTTCATGGCTTATATTGCTACCAGGAATAAATTAACTCCCTTCCATTCCAGCTAAGCTCATATATGCAGACAGTTAACTGCTGTATCCCTAGATCCCCTTCTTCCTGGAGGCTGGCAAGCTGCCTTTGGTATCAGTCCCAAAACGTACACTTATTTCTGAGATGCTACAATTCATCTCAGGCCAGAGGTTGTTTGGTAATTGTTTAGTTTGTAATGTGTCTAATCCAGTTGTGATTTCTGTCCCGTTTTCCTCACTGCTGGCTTGATGCTGACCTTCAGGTCAAGTTCAGTCACACCTTTCTCTAGGGTGGTCTAGTTGGCTTTATTAAAGAGCACTTCCATTTCCCAGCTGAGCCTTAAAGACTTTAAAATTTTGAGGCTCCTCATTATCAGAGTATGTATTATCCGTGTCCCTGTGTAGGAACACTACTGTAGATTGTTTAGGAAAGGAGAAGTTCTCATAACCCAAAAAGAGGCGGATGAGCTACTCACAAAATTAGTTCCTCTCAAATATTCCTCACCTGCCCCTTCCCAGCTAACAGTAGTAGTAGGGGATCAGAGACTTGATGGGGCATTTTCTGATTGTTTCATGTTAAGATGCAATGTAGTACCATGCAGGTTGATTGCAAGTCTGCAAAAATGTAACCCATTTCATAAAATGGATTAACCTTTTACTAGAGTAGTGCTTAAATCATCGCCGAATTGGGCTTGTTATAATTGATAACAAAATTACTTCAAATGAGTATGATTTGACTATCAAAGGATTAAGAGAAGTCTTTGGAAAAACTGATAAAGCCCTCAAAATGTTTTTGTGAAATGACTCTGTGCTGTGAAATTCAAACATGGAAACGTGAAAGATGTCATGTCCTGCTGTCATACAGTTTGTCAGAATAATTTCTTTCCTGCCAATAAGTCAATACTTGGTATTTATTCTTAGTTAAGTCTAAGAATCAAATATAATTGTAGTTATGCCTAATTTTAAAAAATAAAATACACTATTTTCAGAACTTGTTTCTTTTTTAAAAACAGATAAGGGGTCATTGAAAGGTTAGTTACTATTTAACATGAAATTATGGGGCTTGTTGACCCTGAATTTAAGTAACCTTTTCCAATATTGTTAAATAAGCAAAACCTCTTGTGGTTTTTTTGTCTATATACAATAGAATTTTGTTTGGGGGTGTAGAGAGTAGTAATTGTATGTGAAATTATAAAACTGTTATGATTAGTAGAGAAAATCTGGATGTACCGAAAAGTATAGCAAAGAAAATTAAGATTTAATAATTTCTAGATACGTGTGTATCATGCATGTGTATATGTATAATGAAAACCATGTTTTTAAAACATTTTATCTTGAGCATTTTTCTCACATTTTAAAATTCTTGTAAAATAATTTTTCATGTCTGTATGGGTCATATACATAGATGTACCCTGAATAATACTGAGAAAGAATGCCTCTCTATATACATATTTTCTCATGTCTCTACTTCCTGTATATGATTTCTACTTAAGTTAAGAGACTCCATAAATCTAACTGAAAGAGGGCCTGCGAGTTTTATCTAATGGTGACAAATTCCCCCCAACCATCGCCCACCTTTTCCAGTTATTTATTTATTTTTTAAGTAGGGACATTTTTATTGATCAGTGTGTTTTTAGAAATTTTTATTATAAGTATTTTCTGTCCATTAACTTTACTTACTGAATACACGCCAGCACTTTTTTTTACTCTTATAATTGAGGTAAATTTGACATACAGTGAAATGTACAGCTCTTTTGTGCATAGTTTGGTGAAATTTAATACATGCATACGGCCTCGTAACCACCACAACTACCACCCCCTCCCATTTGAAATACAGAACATTCTTCCACTTTGAATCACTCAGTGGGCATTTTTTTTCTTCAACCCTCCCAGATGCCTAAAGTTGAAGTGGAATTCCTCTTCTTGGGGCAGGGCCTCCAGGCTGTGTTTGCTCTGACTGGGAGGTTGTTAGGGTCACGGAAACATTAACTCTGGTTCTGATGGTCGTGTTGTGGGTACAAAGCCCGGTCGACTAGTGTTAGCTTAGAGTTACTGTCTCAGCTCCCACCAACATGAAAGAGTGTGTCTGTCACATTTTCTCTTTCCTTTCAGGTGCTGAGCTTTTTATACCACCAAAGATCAACAAAAGAACCCAGTGGAAACAGCCTTCTAGAGTGACTCTGACCCCAGTTAGGAGGGCTCTGGCAGAGAAGGCTGTTTTCCTTCCACTCCTCACTCGAGGCCTGGCTGCTGGGAACTGGGGAGAGTAAGACCATCTACCTTAGCATTGCGGAGAGCTGCTCTGTGCAGCAGACCTCAGCGGACACCAGTTCTGTTTTATTTTGCGTATAATCTTAATCGTTAGCAAGGCTTTAAGCTTTGACCCATATGGCATCACTTTGTAAAAATTACTGTTCTTCTACTTAGCGCTGACTGAGAGCATATTTCTGGTATTTATGGTAATCAGGACATTGGGTTTCATTCCCAGCTACAGGTCGGAATCATATTGGGACCGTAAGTAGACAAATCACAGAATTGATTTGTGCCTCAGTTAATTGAGAATGTTTCGTGGCTGCTACCTCAAAAGTGTGAAGAGAAGTTAAATAATGTTTTCGAATTGTTTTATGTTCCTTGAGGAAAGCCTTATGTATAAACAACTAATGGCTATTAGTGCTCCCAACGATAGGTCTAATTTAATCATTTAAATGACTTCACCTTGAACTAAAGCAGAGTGAAAAGTGAAATCTATCCTTTGATATTCTAAGCTTTCCTAGGCTGACAGCGGTTATTTTGTAATATCTTGCCAGGTCATGTGCTTCCAGTTATAACTGGTTTGAGCCTCCTATCACTACAGTGTCCATATGGACTATTTTTATTGCTTGTGAATGTTCTGCTAGAGTTAGCAGTGTTAGAGCTGGAACAGATTAGAATTTCTGAAACAGTATTGCGTACATTTGGGATGGCGAGCAGTGTGCATCATAGGCATGAACAGTAGTAAGTTAATCCTTTTTCTCCAAATGTTGCTTCTTTTAACATAATGTTTTTGTCAGTATCTGGGCCATTTCATTTATTTTTCTTTATGGTGCTTAACTGACCTCTGTCTTTTAGTTATTTTCTTTGAAGGAAATGAGAATGTTATCTCTTTTTAGTGAGTCCAGAAAAAGCTCAGTTTGTTTTGACAACAGTTTTGTGGCTGACTCTTGGGTAAGGTTAACAATCTCTTTCATGCTTTTAATACCGGAAACAGACCTTTACTACTCTACATAAACTAACAGGAAGTCAGAGTATAGGTATACCCAGAATTGTGTAACTAAAGAAGGTTTTCCCTAATATAGCAAAATGTAAACTATAGAATCTAGGTGTGTTCACTGTATAATTCAACTTTTCTGTGTGTCTGAAAATTTTCTCAAAATCATAGAAAAAGAAGAAGGTCTATAATTAAGTGCCCAACGTTGAAAGGCTGCAAGTGCTTTGTGACTACTCTTTGGTGTGGATTAATGAACATGGTTACTTATATGACATTTTAATATATTATAGTGCTCTTGCTATGGATAACAGTAAAGGGACTCTATCCTCTGAGCAAGATGGAATTTTATTCATTTGGAGAAGTAGCATGTGGGAGCAGACCTTCCAAATTGAAGGCAAAGTCAAGGGCGAATTTATGGGGGAAAATGCTGTGTAAAGGCAAAGGAGAAACTCCTGGGAGTGATGAATGCTTAATTTGGGGGAAAGATTCTGTCAGCTTCTAGAGAAGAGTATATAACTCTTCCCCCAAATTTGGGATCTTCCCAAATTCATGTTGCAGGAAGCTAAAAGCCTCAGTTACTTAGTTTGTTCCATGGAATCAGCTTTGTTCATTCAGATGCTCCAGACATCAAGAGGAAACTTGCAGAGGATTGTCTCCTGTAATCAAAGTGTATTTTACATTTAGACTTTTTAAAAAACTGAGGCAGGAGCTAATGTTTTTATTATGCCTTTATGAATATAGCTTGGTGTTATTTCTTAGCACTGCTGCATATTTTAAAATAAATTTATTTTCACATATACCTACATATATATACACATATATTTATGTGTGTATATACATACATGTGCACACATCTGAGGGATTTTTCATAGCCACAATTGAAGAGGATGTTTTTAAAAATAAATAAAACTGACAATTCTTAGTAATTTAAGGTGACTACAATTTTGGGAAGCAGAATTAGCTTTTTTTCCTCCTCCCATGCCGGCCCATAACCTGCTTTGCTTCAGTAGAAGCACCACCTGGACAAGTCCTTGGGAGTCTTTGGCTGTCCTTCCTTGTCTGTCATATTTAGTAGCAACTGAGTTGAGGATGTACATCTTAGAAGCTAGGTAACCATAAATGTCTGAGATCTGTAGACAAGCCAAAGTTAATATGGTGATGTTTGGCAACCCTGAAGGCCTGCTCTTGATTTATTTTCTCTGTGCTCCCTAAACCCTTGCCTATGCCTCATGCTTACACTAGGCTGTTCCACCATTACTCTTACTAGCTTTGAAGTCCCAGGAACTTCAAGACCAACAGATGTCCTCTTGGTATACAGAAAGGACAAAATCACAGGTCCACTCATCTTAGTGTCCTTGAACAAAGTCATGGAATCTCACTGAATCTTGCTTTTCTACAACCTCGTGTGCCCACCCAGGCTAACCTGGGTTTCTCAGCCTCGGCACTGTTGATATTTTGGGTTACGTCATTCTTTGCTGTCCTGTGCCTATAGGATGTATAGCAGTATCTCTGGCCTCTACACATTTGATGCCAGTTCTATGTACCCTCTACTCCTGTTATGATAATCACCAATATCTTTAGACATTGCCAAATGTCCCTTGGGGTTCAAAATTGTCCTCAGTTGAGAACCATTGGGCTAAGATGACGTCCAAATACTTACTAAAAGCTATTCATCTTTTTTTATGTGTGAGGAGGATTCTTTTTTTCTGCAAGTGTGATTTATACGGATCAAGTGAGAGAATTCATAAAAGTGCTTTGAATGAGATTACACAGTTGTTTAACCTTATATTGGTATTTTTCATTTTAAAATGCAGTATAGCATTTGGTCCTAGGATGGCCTGGGAGTTCCCACTCTCTAGAACCACGTCCCATGCCTCCCCTTCATCAAGACCCTCACCTTTTGGGGGGTAATCGACTGGGGGTTCATAGACCCTTAAGGGATCTAAGATAGAGTATTTCTGTAATCCTATGTATTTTATTTGAT